CCTCCGAATAGGATGAAGTCTGCATATGAGTTTGATATGTGTTAGAAATGTACAGGGATTAGTGAAATCTTCGACATTTCAATCCCTGTATATTGATAATACGCCTTGTGTTATGGTGGTAGCTATCAGAAGGACAATACGGGTTATTTTATTTCTCGCATCTGAATTTTCTATATGCTTGGTTTTTGGGGGACATTTATCCCCATTTCTTGCAAAAGTTATGTTGTTCGTATCGTGTTGGCAATTTGTATATGTAAAATGCACGTAGGTACCGAGTGTAGAAAGAATTCTGTGGTTGTTCGACAAGAAAATTGGCTATTTGGTTGAACTATGGAAATGTACTCGGCCCAATGTAGGGTTATGAAAGTGCATCTGCTTATTGAATAAGACCGCCAATACATAACCGAATGATTGGTCCAATGCAAGGTTCTTCTTGAGTTGGCTTACACATTGTTATCTAAAGCCAGTGCTTAGTTTGAGTACATCTCTTCAGAACCAAACTCAGTGTCAGAGGAGTCTTAGATATTTATGTTGTTTACATTTGAACTGATTTTGATATCTATGATCTGTAGTTTTTGTGCCTTCCCCCATTCTCTCTAGAGCATGTTTGTGTTTGATGCTCATTTTAACTAAAAGTTAGAGTGTATATTTTCTGAATTTTGAATTTTGTTCTGTTTTTATCCTTTTTCCACAGGATTTTCTTTGAGTTCACTGCTTTTAGTCCCCTAATGTATTGATCGTTGCAGGGACATATTCTATTTTTAAAGCTAGCTGAAAATGGCATATGAAGAGGTTCTGAAGGCCGTTTTTCCTTTACTGGAGGGTGTGGACCTTGCTTCTTGTATGGCAGTGTCTAAGCAGTGGAGACACATAGCTCGAGATGATTTCTTTTGGAAGTGCGCATGCGCCAAGAGATGGCCCTCTATCTGCAAGCGACCTAACCCTTCAACTCTAACGTATTACAAGCTGTATCAAACCTTTTATAAGCGCCGGCCTGGTCGAACTCTTCTTCCCCCAAGACTTTCCTTTGATGACCTGGAATTTTTCATCGATATCTGGACGGAAGATCGATTTATCTTTTCTGAAGTGGTCCCAGGCCCGATCCTACAGAATGGTATTAAAATCCCACCACCAGGAGTATGTGACATGCTTAGATTGCACATGGAGAGCTCCGAGTACAAGATGAAAGTCCCTGTTGAGCCAAGGTTCACAGTTCCTTTGAGCCAGACAGTGAATGTTTCAGTGCTTGTGGGGCGCAAGGATTCTAATAAGGTTGCTTGTATACTTAATAAATCTAAGTTTGACTACATTGATCGAACAGCATATAGAGCCATGGCAAATGACTACCTTGACTTCTCACCGGTCTACCCATTCACTACGGGTATCCGGGCATGGATCTCTTTGCTTTTCATGGACAGTGGAAATGAAGGAGTTGTTGATGTCTTTGGGATTGAAATGGATTTCATGGATGCTGCAAACTCGAAGGAAGAGGTTTTGTGGCTATTAGACATGCTTGATTGGAAGTGAAGGTTTGACTTGAAAGCCAATGCAAATAAAAAAGAGCCACCAAATTGGATGCAACAATGATGCTTTTGTCTTCTACGGTTCAGTTGTCATGCTGAGGCTGCATATGGAACACAGTGCAACGCTCTCATTTCCAGTGACAACACTTTGCTTTAGTGGTATCACTTTCTTCATGTGTTATTGCATGTTCAAAGTTTGTACATACTTGTTTTATTCATTACCTCTAAAATTATGAACCTTATTTTTTTGCTCTGTATTGAAGTATATTTCATTTGGTCTTATGAACAATGTGTTGAGCATCAGGGTAATTTTGACTACAATTGAATAGCAGATCTTTTTTCATTTATTGATATGCATTCGTTGAACGATAATGCCAATCCTTTCTTTGTTTGGTACAAGAACATTTAAGTTATTTAGAATAAAAGGAAAAGAATCTTGTCTACCAAGGAACAAAATATTTGAGGGATTTCTGCTAGCTTCGATTCTGGAAAGACAGAAACCAATTTGTTAGTTTTTTAAAATCCTGTTGATCTTGTGCCAAATACAAAGTTAGGGTACGGACTTTGCCTCATTTTGTATTAGCTGCCTACTTAAAAATAATCTCTTTATTGAGCATCTGCATTACAAGATGAGTTTTCAAATTTGACACAGGGGGAAAACAACAGGAGCAAGATAACTAAACGCGCATCCTAGTTCAAAAATTTATTCTCCCCTCATAGGTGTGACCAAATTGCCAATTTGCTGGTGCAACATCATCAAACCTAAGTGTTTTCCCATCACTTGTGGTGACCAAGAATGATAAGCTTTGCCCTACAATGTTGCTTCCCGTCTGCCAAACTTGGCCCCAATTGCGAGACATTTGAAGCCAATCAGTGCTAGAGCCTTTAATTTTAACGTTTGCAACATCACCGGCACCGCCAACATTGAACACCAATGCAGTAAGCCAGTAGGGGTTTCCCTTGAGCTCAAACTTAACCCCTCCTCTTTTCTGGCACGGGACTCTGCGATATTTAACCGGGATTATCCCGGCTTTTGCTTGTGCGAGTTTTGTGAACATCGTCATGGACAAATCGAAGTGTCTCTGTGGCGGGTTGCACCAGTGATCAGGAGCTGGAATCCAATTTGGAGGACAAAAATTGGTTGCAGTGATTGTGATTGCACCGGCATTAGGGATGCACCATTGTGGATCCTTGACACACCGGATCTGAAAACAAGCACCGCAAGCATGCCCGTCCTTGAACAGCTTTGTGCTTAGTGCTGCTGTCTCCAGGCCATAGCCTTGTTGGAAGAGATCACCATATCCACAAGCCCCCTCTGTTTAAGAATCACAAAGTTAAACCTTGATATAAAAATAAAAATTGTTATGTGCCGGTTGTATATAACATTCCTCTCATATTAAGTACACGAGTTTACTATCGTTGGAAGGAGGTTATATGTAACCGGTGCAAACAAAAACTCTTTCACTTACGCATGGTTTCTCCTCCGCTCAGGTCACCATAAAACGTTGCGTGTGCATCATGCCAAATCTTGCCGGCGCGTCCCTTAGCTAAAGGGATTACATCGCCCATGGCTTGAACCAGAAGAGTGATGAACACTGCCCATGTAAACAAGTTCTGAAACTTAGCCATGGCAATGTGGTAGTGAGAAAAACTGGAATGCCTCTTAATTACAAAGTTAATTTTATAGGCACAAGTGGGATTATCATAAAAGGAAAGATAAATTAGATGATACTCATCGAGTGAAAAAAGGAATGTAATGTAACGGACATGATTAATTCCTATAATCCTATTGCTACGATACATTAGACAGATATATTTCCTTGTTGCATCTCCTAAGAAGATTTGAAATTAAAAGAGGTAAAGAATGTGAACCTTAATTCTTGCCAGAGCCGAGCCACAAAGATTTCCAATTTTAATTTTAATTTTGTGCCGTCTTTGGTATTCTCAGGTCCGGCTTTAAATTATAGTTTGACTTTAAATTATATGTCCAAATTTTATGTAACTTCTTATGTTTAGGCTTCAATACTGTGAGATTGAGAATCCCTAATTACGTATAATTACTTATATGTAGGTTTTAATTTGTGTAAACAATTACTAGTCTTATATGTCATCCCATTGCCCCTAAGTCAACCTTCTCAATTTTCCATATGGGGACTAAGTCAACCTTCTCCAATATTATGTGCTTCATGTATTTATGTCATACACATAATTTCCCAATGTGTGGATAAATGGTGCGGGATCGTTGTGGGATGTGAGTGGCCGATTGACTGATTGTATTTGTACCAATTGTTCAACCACTCACATCCAACAATTATTCTGCACCAGAGAAAATACTTTAGACTCTTCTTTAGTCAATGGAATCAAACCATGCTTCTTCTGACTGTCTTGCTAGGATGGAGAGCACGAAGGATTTGAGCTACATGTGCTTAATGGGGCAGCAGAGGGTGTTTTGGGTTTCATGGAGAAAGATAGGAGTTGCCTTGCTGAAGTCAACCTTCTCCAATATTATGTGCTTCATGTATTTATGTCATACACGGAATTCTCCAATGTGTGGATAAATGGTGCGGGATCGTTGTGGGATGTGAGTGGCCGACTGACTGACTGTATTTGTACCAATTGTTCAACCACTCACATCCAACAATTATTCTGCACCAGAGAAAATACTTTAGACTCTTCTTTAGTCAATGGAATCAAACCATGCTTCTTCTGACTGTCTTGCTAGGATGGAGAGCACGAAGGATTTGAGCTACATGTGCTTAATGGGGCAGCAGAGGGTGTTTTGGGTTTCATGGAGAAAGATAGGAGTTGCCTTGCTACCTTGCCACGCCTAGACTTCCCCCCTCCCCCAAAACAAAGTATTTATCATATTGAGCACATAACCTTAATTTTATTATTTATATGTATTATGTATTGAACGCTGCAATAATTTGAAAATTAAAGTAGAAAAAAATTGTGGTACAAATAGTGTTGCTTTGATTCAAAAATAGATAAGTATATGCCCTTTCTATATCAAAGTATTTAACATGTTTGTGGAAACACAAAGTTCAGTTGAATTAGTTTAATAAAGAATGCTATGATCATTCGCTATATTACCGCTTTATGGTAAGTTTATAATTTTTTTCACTTAATAACAATCTTTTATGAGCGTGGATTTTATAGTGAGTTTTGATTTATTAACGGTTAACGGTCGTTCAAACGGTAATACTTCAAAATTCAAAGAACAAAAAAGTATTAATTTAAATTTACAGTAGGATCACTCCTTCCGCGCAATGTATTAATTCAGTGTCAACTCCTCTTATTCCGCTGGGACAGCCGGAAAGACCAAAAAGGACTACACACAATCTTTGTGCTATTTGACCTTCATACAATCTGTGTTGTTGACCTTCATCAGCCTTTTATGGTCGAGAATCAAAGATTGCCGGTCAAGGGTAATTCCGTAATTTGGTAAGTTGAACTTCGCTCAAATCTAGCCCAGCAAAATCCTCCGTCGCCAAAAACTCAAAAAGAGAGAGCCTTCCGAAGGAAGCTAACTCGCCAGTTCATACAGTGCCTCGAGGGCATTTATGTAATTGCAACAGTTGCGACTCTGTTATCTGTTCTATAACACCCAAATCCATTATTATTATTCCCCCCCAAAAAGCCCGAAAATTCAGTTCCTCACACACTTTCCCCGCCATTTGCCTTCTCAATTTCTCTTCCCAATCTGTCCCTCTAGGGCTCCAAAACGTTCTTCATCTCCCTCACTCTGCAACCAAAACCCTAATTCCCGCCAAAATACCCCTGGATTTCAGCTTAATTACAACCCCTGCCACTCCACCTCGTTCTCGATACATGCCCTTGCAGTGCCAATCGCGAACTCACCGGTTAAGCAATCGATGAGTTATCCAGTCACTTCCAGTTCGAGCTCCGGCTCGGCTCACTGGGGCATCAGCCTCTCGAACACAGTGCACTCGGAAGTCGCTCCATGCTTGCCTTTGCCTTCGCTTCCGGTGTTCTGCGGCGCATCTGATCAGGACCTACGGCTGTTCGACGAGCCGATTCGAAACAGTGCGTGGTTGAATCACCCTGACGCAGCTCTTTCCAGTAGGATTGCTGATCTGCTTCGAGAAACTGACGTCTCTTACTTGTAAGTGTGTTCTGTGCTTTGCGCAACGCTTTCATTTCCAGGTTTAACTTTGAAATTTGAATGAAAGAAGTACGCGATGTTACTTGGAGTTGAAATTTTTGTTCACTTTCTAAGTTACGATTTGAAATTTGGCGTACTTGATTGTTGCTGTGTGCTAATATGTCAATTTTCCGGTTTTTCTGATGAAGTAGGTTTTGATCGTGAACTCGTAGCTTGACCAAAAAAGATCGTGAACTCGTAGATTTTGCGGTTTTTATGAAGTGGTTTAAATAATTTGAAACAAAGTAATGGTTATTGATTAAAATTAGTGCTCTCTCTCTCTCTCTCCCTCTCCCTCTCCACTAATGACTGAGATAACAGGAAGCACAACGTGTACGTGTTTGAACTAATGCGACGAGTTTGTAAAATGTGAATTTGGTGGTGACACGTGATTTGGAATAACGTGGCTAGTTCTTACTACTTAATAAATTGTACTCAAGGATTCTATTTTAGATTAAAACCCGAATAGATTAGGGACTGTGTTTGTAAAAATTTCTATCGAGTTCTTTTGGTTTGATTTAGTTTGAATTTTGTTTTTGCTTTTTCTTTGTTATTGCTCATATATGGTATCATGTACAGGAACCTTCGAGAAGATTCTAGCTTAGTTCCATATGGTTATATCGAACCTTTAAAACTTCATGATGAAGTTCTTCAGTACAATCCAGAAGCATTTGAGTACAATAGTCCAGGTAAACCAAGTATTTAGTTGCTCCGTACCTGCTTTGATTATAAGTTTTTATGCTCATGCTTGTGTTTGATTTTTCTTTAGATGCTATTTTTTGGTTGCCTACTTGTTACTTAGGATTTCTGTATTGCTGCTTTGGCTAGAACTGGAAAGTAGTGGGATCTGTTTTTCCCAGAATAAAATAAAAGTAATCAATCCATAAATGGATTGTGTTTTTAATATGCAGGGATAAGTGCGAGAGCCATTTTTCATTATATAATTAATAAGCCTCCACATAGGTTATAACCTCATTGAGTAATGCAATCACATCTGTCTGGTGCAAGAATTTTTGCCGACAGTATGCATATTTTACAATAATGAGAGCCCGAATACATCTCAATTTTAATTTTTTTTTTTTTTGAAAAGAAGAATATGCATCATTTCATTTCATTGGTAAATATACTGATAACAATGAACAAAATGCTAAAAATTATATGACTAGAAATGAGAAAATATTATTTTTTATTTTTACTAGCAACAGTATTGATCAGATATGATAAAATTAATATTTATTCTTTTTTGGTATCAAGGCACAAGTAGTGAAAGTTAGAGAGTAGTACTTGATATTTTTACACATGCATATGGTATTCACTTACTATTCAAAACAAAGTAGTTTAATTGAAGCTAAAAAAAACTAGTTTCTTTCTACTTGATGTAGTTCAAAGGATTCATGGTGAATTTCCAGGATCTGTCTCCTGTTTGCTCTATGTATAGATGTGAATTGAGTAAATATCTTTAGATATTACATGCACTATTTTGTTCCTTAGAAGAATTAATTGTGCTTTATGGTGTTTTGTTCTTATATGATTCAATGTTTCTGTGCTTACTGTTTCTTGCACTGTTCAAGTTTCTCAGGTCCTATTAAGGGGCAAGTGCATACACTGTTTTGTTCCTAAGAAGAATTAATTGTGCTTTATGATGTTTTGTTCTTATATGATTTAATGTTTCTGTGCTTATTGTTTCTTGCACTGTTCAAGTTTCTCAGGTCCTATTAAGGGGCAAGTGCATACACTGTTTTGTTCCTAAGAAGAATTAATTGTGCTTTATGATGTTTTGTTCTTATATGATTTAATGTTTCTGTGCTTATTGTTTCTTGCACTGTTCAAGTTTCTCAGGTCCTATTAAGGGGCAAGTGCATACACTGTTTTGTTCCTAAGAAGAATTAATTGTGCTTTATGATGTTTTGTTCTTATATGATTTAATGTTTCTGTGCTTATTGTTTCTTGCACTGTTCAAGTTTCTCAGGTCCTATTAAGGGGCAAATGCCTGGCAGTAGTACAGTACCTGACAAGAAGCCCTTCAAGCCCAGTGTACCTATAACCAGACATGCTCAAAGAGACTATGGTGCAACTAACAATAATCAGCTCAACGATATTCCTCCTAATGTACGTGTAGATCTATTTGGCAGTTGATAATCATTTTCCCCCCTCCTTGTTTCCTAATCTAGAAGATGAAATTGCAGGACGTATCTACACCATCTTCTAGAAAACCGAAAGCCAAGAAAAAAGATAGTGATGTTGTTATGTCATCAGTCGGACCAGATCAGACTGCAATTCAAGGTTGTTATTGGCTTTTAGAACTCTCTCTCTCTCTCAAGCATGATCTCACATTTTCATTTTCAGTATTCATGTGAGTGACTTATTTTGCAAAATCTTATTTAGACGCCATCATTGGACGCTTTTGTGAGTTGGTGGAGGATTTCTGCGGTAGAGCTGAAATTTTCAGTGATGATCGGGAAGAAGCTGAGTGGTTATCTATGTCTCTTTCTGATCTTAGAGCGCTTGCAAATAAAATAATGTCTCTTCGAGCAAAGAGGCTTCTACATTTGGTCCCTGTAGATTCTTTTGTTAGATTGTTAAGGATTTTAGATCATCAGATACATCGAGCTGAAGGCTTGTCTATAAGTGAATGTGAGCAGGTGAGCTTGTTTTATGCCCTGCATTCTTTCTTGCATATAGCATAGCTGTTGTGGTAGTTTACTTCTTAAACTACATTTCTTCAGGCTTTTGTGCTATTCTTCTTTTTTATATTTTCATTGAAAGCTTGTGCTATTTTCAGTTTTGCTTCTCCATGATTTATTTTTTGGTCTGATTTTAGAATCTCGATGCTAGTAATGATGTTACTTAGGTGCCCTGCAATCTTCAGGCTTTTGTGCATTTCTTCATAGCTGTTATGGTAGTTTACTTCTTAAACTACATTTCTTCAGGCTTTTGTGCTTTTCTTCTTTTTTATATTTTCATTGAAAGCTTGTGCTATTTTTAGTTTTGCTTCTCCATGATTTATTTTTTGGTCTGATTTTAGAATCTCGATGCTAGTAATGATGTTACTTAGGTGCCCTGCAATATATTGATTGTTTTAAATTTCATCTTATAATGGTCTTGTTATCTGAATCATTGTTTGTCTGACCCTATGTTTTCCTATTTATCACCATATTTGGGCAGAAACATTAGGGACATAAAAATAATTACGGAGAAAAAAACGTTTGAGCTCCACCTCCACCTCCACCTCCACCACCACCTCCACCACTTCCACCTCTACTTCCACCACCATCACCACCTTCATCTCCACCTCCACCGTCACCACCTTCACCACCACTTTCATCTCAACCACCACCACCACCTTCACCTCCATCATAGTATTTTCATTATGGTTGAAATTTATGCGCTCAATTCTATATACATATATATTTGGAGTTTTCATTTTAATAGGTATTCATGATCACTTTCATTTATTACTTTTCTCTTCAATATGTCAGTCAAATTCAGATGTGGTTTCATCAATAAATTGAGCACTAGAGTCCATTCATGCAGCTTTAGCAGTAATGGCTCATAACCAGATGCCAAAACAACTATATAAAGAAGAGGTACACACTTTATGCTAAGGATCTCTCTACATTTTGTGGATATCCATTATATGTGTAACTTCGTATCTTATGATTTATTTTTTTACGATTATAAAAAAGGTAAGTAATTCTAATTTGTGTACATCAGATCATTGAAAGAATTCTGGAGTTTTCCAGGCATCAGATAATGGATGTTATGTGTGCTTATGATCCATCATATCGTGCTTTGCATAGGCCAAGTCAAAATGGGTCCCTTGAAGGTTTGTTTTTTTGTTTTTGTTTTTGAAAAGGTGGGGTTTCCTTAACCCACTACATTCATATGTTCCTGAGTTTTTCATACGTATTTTAACATATTATTCTGTATACACAACTCTGTCCATTCTGTATATTGTCTTGCTCAATCATTCTGCATTTTCAGGAGCAGTTGTTTTCAACTTATGTGATTTGAGTGACAGTATTTTTCAATATATTAACAGTTGAGGAAGATGAAGACCCTGATGCTGAAATTGGTTCAGCAAGCAAGAAACGACGCAGTATCAAGACTGTTAAAGTGCATAAATCGTCATTTAACAGGTGTGCTTATCTATATTCTGCTCCTATGTGGTTGGTTTTTTTTTACTAGATCCTTGTATAAAAAAATTTAGGTGTTGTCTTGTTCCTTACATCTTTGCCTTGGTAGGGTCTCTGCTGCTGTGAATAATATTCTTCAGAAAATGTGCACCATTCTTGGTTTACTCAAGGATTTGTTGTTAATAGAAAGATTGTCAGATGGTTGCATCTTACAACTAGTGAAAACAAGCTTTACAACATTCATGGTGGATAATATCCAGCTCTTGCAACTGAAGGCAATGGGTTTAATCAGTGGGGTACAGATCTGCACTATTCATATCCTCTTGGCAGCTATTGTTTGCACATACCTATACATATTTTCATGCACATATGCATTTTAATGTTATTTACTCTGAAACTTGTAGTTCATTGTTGGTGGTACAGATATTCTATTCATACACTCAGCATCGGACTTATGTGATAGATGAATTAATTCAGCTGCTTTGGAAGTTACCGTTCTCAAAGCGAGCTTTGAGAGCCTATCACCTACCTGATGAAGAGCAAAGGCAGATTCAAATGATCACTGCTTTGCTGATTCAGTTGGTTCACTATAGTGCAAACCTTCCTGAACCGTTAAGGCAGGAATCAAGTGGTAATTCCATCTTAGAACTTTCTCTCGATGCCGATTATCCAACTAAAGGCCATGAGGCAGCAACAGAGGCGTGTTGCCACTTTTGGACTCGTGTACTTCAGCGTTTTGCTAGTGCGAAGACTCAGGAAGCTTCGGAGTTGAAAGTAATGATGGAGAATCTTGTTACTGATCTGCTGACAACGTTGAATTTACCTGAATATCCCGCTTCGGCTCCTATTCTGGAGGTAAAATATATGCGTGACTTGTGTAGACTGTAATATCTTTAATTGTATTAAAATGTCATCATGTTGAAGTCAATTTATTTGCAGGTTCTATGTGTCTTGTTACTCCAGAATGCCGGGCTGAAATCTAAAGACATAGGTGCACGTACCATGGCGATTGACCTTCTTGGCACAATTGCTGCGAGGTTGAAGCGTGATTCTGCCCTTTGCAGTAAGGACAAATTTTGGATACTACAGGAGTTGGTTAGTGCGGATGGGGATGATCAGACTGATCCAAAAAATGCATGCTCAGTTTGTTTAGATGGTAGGGTTGAAAAAAATTTCTTTGTATGTCAAGGTTGTCAGAGAATGTTTCATGCTGATTGCATGGGAGTAAGAGAATATGAAGTTCCGAATCGAAGTTGGCACTGTCAGATATGCCTCTGCAGGAAGCAACTTCTTGTTTTACAATCTTACTGCAAGTCACAATGCAAAGATGATGGGACAAAAGATCGTAATCGTTCAGGAAGAAACACTGAAGTTGCTTTTTCAATTACAAAACTTGAGGTTGTCCAGCAGATGCTTTTGAATTACCTTCAAGATGCCGCATCAGCTGATGATGGGCATCTCTTTGTTCGCTGGTATGTACTCTTTGAACCTCATCCCATCTTAACTTTGTGGTTCCATTGTTTACATCGTAAAACTATGCATGTTGTACAGGTTTTATCTCTTGTTGTGGTACAAGGATGATCCAAAATCACAGCAGAAGTCCAGGTACTATCTTGCTAGACTGAAATCAAAAGAAATAGTGCGGGATTCTGGGACAGTTTTTTCATTATTGACAAGGGATTCAGTCAAGAAGATTACTTTAGCATTGGGACAAAAAAACTCTTTTTCCAGAGGGTTTGATAAGATTCTTCATTTGCTTCTGGTTAGTAAGCTTTTTCATTTACTCCCTGATTTATTATATAATAAAATCTCTATTTTGACAATTTAGTTGATTTCAGGCAAGTTTAATGGAGAATTCACCTGTAATTAGGGCCAAGGCTTTACGAGCGGTAAGCGAAAAAATATATTCTTGGACTTTTAATCCTTGAAATGGAAATTGAGAATTCATTTTATGGCTATGTTGGCAGAATTTAATGTCTTAATATCTTAATATGATGAGCAGGTCAGTATAATTGTAGAAGCTGATCCGCAGGTGCTAGGAGACAAACGCGTTCAATCAGCTGTTGAAGGAAGGTTTTGTGATTCAGCAATTTCTGTCAGAGAAGCAGCACTGGAACTTGTAGGGAGGCATATTGCTTCTCATCCTGATGTTGGTTTGAAGGTGTGCTCAATTGATCTCTAAACCTACTAAGTTCTTCGTACATTCCCTATTAACGCATTTTGCTTCATCTTCTCCACATTTTCTTTTAGTATTTTGAGAAGGTTGCTGAGAGAATCAAAGATACTGGAGTAAGTGTTCGAAAACGATCTATCAAAATCATACGAGATATGTGCGTTTCAAATGCAAACTTCTCCGAATTTACAAAAGCTTGCATTGCTATCATCTCCCGTATTGGTGACGACGAATCAAGTATACAGGTAATTCTGAAGCGAATAATGCGTTGGATTAAGGATTGATGACATGTAAAATACAAGCATAAAAATTTATTTGTTCTTGACTAGGTCGCAGTTTTTATTCTTTTCCTCTTCCACAGGATATTGTTTGCAAGACATTTTATGAGTTCTGGTTTGAGGAACCTACTGGTTCACAAACTCAGTTCTTTGGAGATGGTAGCTCTGTTCCATTGGAGGTGGCTAAAAAAACTGAACAGATTGTTGAGATGTTGAGGAGGATGCCAAGTCATCAACTTCTTGTGACTGTCATTAAACGCAACTTAGCCCTTGATTTTTTTCCCCAATCAGTTAAAGCTATTGGGATAAACCCTGTCTCACTTGCATCTGTACGCAAGCGCTGTGAGTTAATGTGCAAGTGCTTACTGGAAAGGATATTGCAGGTATTTTCCCCCCATCTTTTTGACTTGTTAAAACAATTTGGTTGATATTTAAATCTGAATGTTCAGAAATTCTTATTTGTCAGGTAGAGGAAATGAATATCCAGGAAGGAGAGAGGCGGACGCTTCCATATGTGCTAGCTTTGCATGCATTCTGTGTTGTGGATCCAACACTTTGTGCACCAGCTTCTGACCCTTCCCAGTTTGTGGTCACTCTTCAGCCTTATCTAAAGAGTCAGGTTAACTGCATCTCATTATATCAATTCTAATTTTATTTTTGTAGCACCTTGAGAAGATTTTGTTTGACTTGGTATGT